GTTAGAAAAGAGATGCTTAGAGAAATGACATAATTTGTTCCCAACAGCACAAAGCTGAGAGAACTTGTACCTTTTAAATACAAATCTTGAGCTGTTTCCAATCACCCTGTGTTATAGACTGAATTGTGTCAGCCCCAAAATTCTTATATTGAAGCCCTAATACCCAATGTGACTGTATCTGGAGACAGGGCCTTTAAGGAGGTAATTAGGTTCAATGAAATCATAAGAGTGGGGCCCTAATACAATAGGACTGGTGTCCTTGTAAGAAGAGGAAGACACACCAGAGGGAAGCACAGGGAACTAGACAAGTGAGAACATAGCAAGAAGGGAGCCATTCGCAAGGCAAGGAGAGAGGCCTGAGCAGAAACCAACCCTGCTGCCACTTAGATCTTGGGGCTTACAGAAAACAAATTTCTGTTGTTTAAGCCACATGGTCTGTGGTATTTTGTTATGGCAGCACTAGCAAATACACACTGTTACTTCAAAATTAGTATGTACAACAATTATTAAGACTTCCCAAAAGGATTTATATTATGTGCCATTAGTAGTTAAATTAGCAATTTCATCTGTTAACTCCACCAAAATCTTGAGGGCCAATCCTGAGGTGGATCACTTGATCACATTCATTTTTCTGACCCATATCTATGAAGAGCTGCATGAATAACATGGAGGCCATTGCTCTCTACTAGTGTGTAAACAACGAGAGAGACAAACTAGAGTATGAGATGTGCCATAAGTGTGTTCCAATGACATGTTCTAAGAATGCAGAAGTTCTGAAGTAACCTGAAAACAAAGAAGAAATCACAGGTTCTGCTTTCTGGAACTATTTCTTACTCAATACCGCTCTATTTCAGCATATTTTTTGTTTACACTAGATGGTGTTTATCAGTCCATACAAATATACATTATCAAAAACTACATCAACTTTTTAAATTTTTACTCCCCCCAAAAAACACACAACCATTATGCCTAATTGGTAACTATTACATAATAACAACATTTTGTGTCCCAAGCACTGTGATAAGAGTATTTTAGACACTATTTCAGTCAATCCTCACAATAACTCTACCCTCAGGAAGTATTACTATCCTCCTTCTTACACGTAACATATCACCTTACAGAGTTCTTTGTATTTAATCTTCAAATATCTAAAAAATGATAGTGTTGATGTTTCCAGACCCATAAATACACTCTCAATCTAAAATTTTCACTACTTCTAAAAGTATTTAAGTCCTATCTAGACATTTACAGAAGAGCAATTATGTAGCACAGGATGATAAAGAGATTCAAACCAAATTCCTGAAATCATATGTATTTCCATTAATGATCAATTGAATTAAGTCATGAATCAGAAATTGTTAAATATCATCAGTTTATAGTTCAACTTTAATATATAAGTTGTAAAAAAAAAAGTTTACTTTAGTTAAGGTAACCATCTTAGCTTAGACAAAAATGAAACACAGAGCTTCACGGGGGAATACTTATCCTGCAACACTTATCAGCAATCAAGAGACTGACTCAATCGGGTCACCATGTGAGACAGTTTTTCATCTAACACGACAATTTACCACTATAACTTCATCCTAAGTTCTCAGTTTCTCCCATATCTGTCACAATTTGATTTCAGATGAACAATATATGAACTATATGCCTACCATGTACAAAGTTGTGTTCTAGGTATTTCCTACCATCTCATTCTGTGGTCTTCTATTAAGTATCATCAAGCTAAAGATATAGAACATAGTCTAAAAATATCATTTGACTCAAAGAATATATTAAGTGTACTTCCATTAAAAGCACCAAAAAAATGGTAAAAAGCTCTTACTTCAGAGAATAAAAATACCTAACCTTAAATAGGTTAAATCAGAATCAAAATTTCATGAACAATAATGCTGGTAACCTGTTACAAGCAACAGATTTTAGAAAGCAAAATAAAACTTTCTTTTCAAGTGCTACATTCATTGTTAGAGAAATTTTAAGACATATTAATGAAAAATCAATAGGAGACCCAAACCATGGGTTTGTTTTCTTTATGTACTAAAAATTCTTCCTTGTGGTCCTCTCTTCGCCTGTCACTCAAAGTGCACTCTGAGAGCAGAAGCACCATTTCTACCTGGGTGTGTGTTAAAAATGCAGAATCTGAGACTCACCCTCAACCTGCAGAATCAGAATCACGAGTTTCATGAATCCCCTGAAATTTCACACAGAACTTTTTGTGAGTGAATGATAAGCACATTTTACTGGGGAAGATTCCATATATATTTATTTTCAAACTCTCAAAGTAATACATTACCCCAAATAGATTAAGAACCACTGTCCTACAGGATTCTTTGACACAGTTTAAAAGTCAAAATATTTCAAAAACTATTTACGCTGCTCTCGATGAGGTCTGCTGAAGAATGACAAGAATGAAGGTCAGAACGTCACACTGGGTCACGAAAGACCTTATCTGAAGAATTTATTCACACCATGCAAGAACTATGCCAAGAAACCAGTTTGAAGACATCTAAATAAATAATTCTCTACATGAGGTTTGAGATTAAGAATGTGCACTTGAAGAAGACTCAAACTGAGAAGTAAATAAATATAAAATAGACATTTTTTAAGATAGGATGCCATTAGATGACAGTGAAGTGTTGAATTCTTGTTTTAAGAGCTCAATCAGCAAATCTCTAATGTGAATTGTTTGATCTGGGATGGAGAGTATTTTAAAAAGTTAACTTCCAACTACATTCCTCTAATACTTCCTTTATGAGGAGCCCCCAACACACTTTACTAATCCTACTTTCTTCATCTCCTCTGGACCTCAGAAGATAAAACAAAAAAGAAATATGACACAAAAATTAAAAGGGATGTGCTCAGAGTAGTCAGTGAGCTAATGATAAAAAATGGCTCCTATGCAGAAGGTTCTCAGTGATATATGAGAACCATGTATATATTTCATTCTTTTATCTTATCATCTAACCATCTCTTCAGGCTGTGTATTACCCAGGAGCATGGACTATGTCTAACTTCTGTTTCCCTAAACCATAGTGCCTGCTGGAATTTCATTCCCTTGACAGGTACCCAATGCAAATAAGCAGCATTAACTGGTCTGGCTTGAGCCTGATTCTTTATTGTATTACTACTGTAACATGTCATTAGTGATGAGTCTACTACCTGAGAGTCTGCTCTCCAGGATGAAGCTACATCCTGCCATCCCAGTCATTCCAGGCAAGAAGAGAGAACACTAGAAAATATCAGAGGGGTCAAGTCTTCTTTGCCCCTTTCTGTCCCCTTTTCATGGGTATCTGATTCTTTTCTTAGTTCTGTTCCTTAGGGCTATTAAAAGTTCTTGCACCTTGGCCAGTGTGGCTCAGTTGGTTGGAGCATCATCCCATAACCAAAAGGTTGCGGGTTCAATTCCAGGTCAGGGCACATGTGACAGGCAATCAATTGATGCTTCCCTCTTGCGTCGATATTTCTCCCTTCCTCTCTCTCTAAAAAGGCAATAAAAAAGTCCTCAGGTGAGGATTTAAAAAAAGTTTTTGTTATTCAAGTACAATAGGGATTATGATAAAACTTTCTCACATTGTTAACTATTAATGTACCTCAGTTACACAACACGGATAAATAATAAATGCAATTATTCACTTATATTGTAGAACTGTGTCCTCTCAAAAATGATAACTATACAAAAAATATAGAACTTTACAAGTATAATAGTCTCTCAGACACCTCAATCAAATGTAAATGCTAATGTTCCCATTATTTGCTCTTCTGCCCAAACAATTTAAACAGTGGCAATTAGATTTTTGACATGAAAGAGGAATAATAATAAAGACAGGGATACTGATGGTAGTGATACTTAAGAAGTGAGGAAGGAAGGGTAATGAAAATAGGGCAAGAACTAATATCTGCATAAACCACCTTTTATAGTACAGGCACTTGTGCAAACCTATGGGGGCAGAGAATACTGTCTTCACTTGACAGATAAGGACACTAATGTTCCAACAGATTAAACAATTACCTAAGATTATGAAGTTAGATGGTGACAAGTTTTGGGGGAGAGGGGAGTAAGGAGAATAGCAAGGGTAAACAGCGAAGGACAAGGAAGTGGATGAGACAGTGAAGCCAATTTTATCTGAAGAAACAGTAAAAAGGAGACAGCACTTAAAGGCAAAGTGGCTGACAGAATACAGGAGTAAAGGGTTCCTTGCACATGTCCCTAAACATTTTTAAAGTAAATGACGTGATCATAAATGCTAATTTTTAAAAAGTAATGGTCAGTTACCATGGTCAGTAGGTCACTTTTCAACCACTAGACTCACAGAGAAATTAATCCTATTATACAAATAAGTATTTACAAAAACATTGTAACAGGAAATTTCATGTCACAGTAGTTTTATTTTTAAAACCACATTACACTTCCAACAACAAAGAGGGATATAAAAATATATAATAGTTAAGCCACTTAATCTTTTTCTTTATGAATATGACACAGATCTAATCTAAGAGGTTATGGACAAGTCACAAAATTCCCAGATTCTCTGTCATCATTCATACATTTATTTCCTTCAGAAATGTATTCTCAACTTTCTGGAACTGTTCTATATTTTCAATCTGAACCAAGGCTAAGAAATTCCTTTGTTCATTCCCCACTGTTTAAAGTAACATCTTTTATTTTCCTCAAAAAACTTTGTCTAGCTCAATGGAGGTCACCTAGATCCTTTCTCCAGGTCAGGTAAACTCTACTCTTCCCTTAATGTAGTACCTACTCAGTCAGTCTTTAAAAAAAAAAAAAAAATCCCTGAAACTTGTTTTTAGAAAAAGAATTAGAATCTAAAATATCTTAGTGTATCTTCAGATTCCTTAAATGGGAACTATTTGTATTTAAAATGACAACTAATTCCAGAATATCATAAAAACTGTATTAAATGGATAAATACTTTACCACATCTCAAGCATACTGTGTTTAAACCTAACAACAATCTCACATCCTCCGTTCGAATTTTAGTTACCTCTTCATCATCATCGTCATCTTCAACATCCAGAATTCCTGAATCCTGTTCAGACTTGGGGCTAGTGCTTTCTAGCTCTGTATCAAAAATTGTATATGCATCTTTCTTCAATTTTCTCTTGCTACCTATTCTAGGGTGTTGCAAGACGATGTTATCCAGGTTTCTTTGCTGTTGGGCCTAGGATAAAGACATACACACAGAGATTAAAGAAAAAGGAAAGAAAATAATTAAGCATTCAAAACACTTCTGCTTTTCAAGCCCTGGCCAGGTAGCTCAGTTGGTTAGAGAATTATCCCAATACATCAAAGTTGCGGGTTCAAACTCTGGTCAGGGCGCATACAAGAAACAACTAATGAATGCATAAATGGAACAACAAATCAATGTCTCTCTTTTTCACTTTCTCTTTATTCTCTCTCTTCCTCTTTCTTTAATATCAATAAATTTTTTAAAAAAATTTCTGATTTTCAATAAATTGATATCTTAAAGAAAATACAAAAAAAAATTAATACACAGTTTCAGTTCTAGAAATAAACCCAAACATATCAATGTATACATTTTTAACCCTGAAGTTACCCCTCGTGATTCATTTTTCCAGTTTCCACAGAAAAAAAAGATAATCAGTCAATATTATCATAAGACTTTTCAAATATAATCACCACAAAAATGAAATCTACCTATTTTCCTCTAAGTAGCCAAAAGATTGGTACAAATGACCAGATATTTACATCTCACAAGATAAATGCATGCTGGAACCATGTGGTGGGGGAGGCAGACAGAGCCTTTCCGCTTTAGGGACTCATTTACAGTTGTGTGAATCTAAGTACAAGACCAACGCAATTCTCCTGGTTAAGAAAATAACATACCTTAGAGAGTGATTTGAACTAATTAATCCAACAAGGTTTCATGACCTTAACTGTAGGAAACAGAGTTGTAAAGGCTCTCTTCTTCTGAACTTTTAGAGAAAAGGAAGTATAATCCCCTCAGCTTAAAAAATAGATTTAAATGATGGTGTGATTTCAATAGATACAAAGTGTCATTTTCCAGGGTCAACAACAGAAATACTAAACCAGACAGTATTAGAGCTGGAGGTGATCTTAGTCACTACTCAGGAAACTGAGGCAAGAAGACAAAAGAATTCAGGTGGGGTCAAGTTAGTAGTAAATCAAAATCTGGAAGTGTGACCTTCTAAATTCCACATCCATGATCTCTCCGCAATGCCAAGAGTCCCTCAAAGCATGGCAACCTGTTTCCCAAAAAGGGGTGATGGGTTTTGTGATCAAATAAATGGGAAACACTGCATATCACATAGCCTTCTTGTAGATACATAGAGCTTATTAACAAATTCAACACTGGGATAAGTCCATTTTAAGAAAATTCTTTAATTTGATTTAACTCAGAAAGTTCCAAAAGTATTTCACAATGGAACTTTCCCTTAAAAAAAAATACTTAGTATTATCCTAAAATACAAAGCTTGAGAAATGTGACTTCTCAGAATATATATTTCTTAATAAGTATATGATATTTCTCTCAGTGACAGGAGAAAATCAGTTTCCAAATATTCTGAATGAGATTAAGGAATTCAAGACAAATATTAAGTATAAGATGTTAGTCCAGACACTGGTTAAATGAGACAATTATAATAAGACAGAGAAAAACTTAAACTATGTGAGCTAGTTTCTGCCAAGAAAATGAAAAGAATCTACATTCCAGAGATTTTAATCAATGGACAAACTTGTTTCTCTACATAGTACTCATTGAGACTTTTCTTTGACTTACATAAAATACGTGGCTTTGGGAACAAACTGAGGTAGAAAAGGCATTCAAAAAACATTTAATTTAGGTTTGCACATTAGACACATATATCCTTCAAGCATTAGAAACCCCAAATTAGATGCAATGTTCTTTCTTTTCCTCTCACAAGTAACAAGTTCTTCCCTATTACTTCTAAAGCAAAACAAAAAGGGATCAAACTCTGGGGAGGCACAAACAGAGAACTTCCTAAAGCTTCCATATTTAAAAAATCTGACCCTTAACTCCATTCTCTCTCTCTCTACAACATTACCAAAAGCTTTCATGAGTTGGTCATATTCTATTGAATCCCAAGGTAATGAATTTTCTTTCACAGTCAATAAAATAGTGCCAGCATATCAAAAGCAATCAACAGAAGCCACATTTAAAACACTTCCATTTAAATTTGAAATGATACAAATCTAAAAGTGTCCTATGGAAGTAATTTTAGCTCTCCTATGACTTGCTCTTTTTAAGCGATATATTGTCTGGTTTTCCCATCAATTTGGAGGAATGCAAATTAAGATAGCAAACCCTATGTAAGAAGTTAAAGCATTTCAAGTAGTATTCCAAAGCTCCATCAGAAACCTGGGGTCTCTGTTAGAATTATCAAGGCTTTTCCAGTGCGTAAGAAGCAGTCAGGGCAACTCTGCCAAGCAAGAACTGGCCAAGTTAGAAACACTGAATCTCAGGTAGAACAATAAAATACTCAGATGTTATCCGTTATGGCTGCAAATGAAAATTACCACCTATTGAGAATGTTATGGGACTGGCAAGAAGCGGAGAAGAGTAAATATGGATATAAACATATAAATATATATAATATATGGGGTCTGTCTGGAAAAAGTCTAGCCATTGTTAATATGAGAACGGCTTCCATAACATCGATGTAACCTTGCAGCCAAAGAGAGCAGACTGAAATGCACATATGTGAACAATGATGACTTCACTGTACTAGTCAGTGGGAGTGGCAGACACCATGACTGAGCATGTGTACTGTGTGGCCTTTGCATTCAAAATGACTGAGTGAGTGAAGCAACCAATCAGAATCAAATTTCGCGTTAACCTTGAACATTCATCCACTGAAGCTATCTGGATGATTCAGAAGGCCACAGCTATGGGCAACTGGTGATTGGCAGCTTCATCATGACAACATACCCACTCATGTATCACATCTTGTGCAGAGATTTTTGGCAAAACATCAAATCACCTAGGTGACTCAGCCCCACTAGAGCCCAGATTTGGCACCCTGCAACATCTGGCTTTTCTGAAAACTGCAATCACCTTTAAAAGGGAAGAGATTTCAGATCATCCATGAGATTCAGGAAAATATGAAGAGGAGGCTGATAGTGACTAGGAGATCTGTGTGAGGTCCCAAGGTGCCTACTTGGAAGGGGACTGAGATATCATTGTCCTATGTATAGTGTTTTTGTATCTTGTATCTTCTTCAATAAATGTTTCTATTTTTCATAGTACATGGCTGGATACCTTTTGGACAGACCTTGTATATTAAAATAAAAAGCCCAAAAGAGGAAAAAAATAAAACAGTAAACACCCTTCAGAGCTCTCTTCCAACAGACTAAGCTATATCGCCAGGACTGTTTATTCTGTCCCTCCAGAGACAACCTTTATAATCATGGGCCACAGAAGCAGCTGCCCGATTTCTGCCACCTGGGTCGAAGTGGAGGCAGGGGATATGAAGCATACACATACCAGTTAGATCTTAGAAAGCATTTAGGCATTTTCTTTTTCTTAGTTGTTCATTATCTTTGTGCCTAAGTTTTACAATTAACCACTTCTTCCTCAAGGTTCCCTCATATATATTCCTCTCTGCTTTCCTAGTATACAGAAATTAAGCAAGCTTTACTCCTCACTCCCTCTTCTCTTATCACTCTCCCAGGATCAAGTAGCACATCTCCAGCTTCCTGTTACTACTGTGTGCTCTACCATCGCCTCAGTTCCAAAGTACCTAAAACAGAACTCACCACCTTCTCATCATAAATCCCCTGCATACTGCGGCCAGAGTCTTCTTAAACTACATCATTCATCTCACCAATTAGGCACAAGGAAACTGGGAACATTTTTTAAACAAGTACAAATCCAAACTCCATAATCTGTCACCGGGACTCTACCATAACAAAGGCTGAACCGAGTTTTCCAGTATACTTAACCAGCGGTCTCTAACATGAACTTCCCACTTGAATCAGACTCTGCCTCCTAATAGACCAGGTACATTTCCACATCTGTAGCTCTTCTAAATGACCTCTTCCTGCTTGAATCTAAACCTTTCATTCAAAAGCCAACCAAAATTCTTCTGTCTTGCGAAAGCCACCTCTCGCTGCCCTAATCCATGATGTTTTCTCTCTGTATCCCTATTTCAGTCAAACATACACTGAATGTCTGCTTGGTACCGGGCACCGTGCTGCACACAGGGAATGCGAAGAAAAGCATGGAGTCTCTGAGTCATGAACCTCACATCAAACTATTGGGGAAAGCAGATCAGAAAATAAGTGGCTGAAATTCCATGCCATAAATATAATAATAGAAATAATACAGAGGGCAATAGTTGAACAAAGGAGAAAGTGATCAGATTTGCTGGGAGGTGTTTAAACCAGGAAAGGTTTCACAGAGAAACAGGTAGCATGCTTTTAAAAGATAAATATAATTTTTCCAAAGGGAAATAAGAAAAAGGGTAACTAACCATTCCAGAAGATAGAAACAGCATGAGAAAGACCATGTGTGAAATAACACTATCCACCCAAGGAACAGGTAATTCTGTATAGGAACATAGTTTACAAAGCATGAACAACAGATAAAGATGTCATACAAGGCAGTTTCAATGTTAGCCAGTAGGCAGAGGAGAAACAATGAAGGAATATAAGCAAGGGAATGACAGGATCAGCTTTACCATTTGGGCACATTTTCTAGGATCACAGGAGTGGTCAGCTGGGAGAAGACAGAGACTAGAAACAAAAAAACAATATCGATCACTATAACAGTGCAATATCAACGATGAGGACTTCAATTAAGATACAGCTGATATATAAGAGGAAAAGGCACCAGAATTTACTAATTTGAATATAGTACATAGAAGACAGGAAGGAAATAAGAACTCTAAGTATTCTGCCCTTGATGACTAGATGGTGGGATTATTCCAAAGAGTGGGAATCATAGAAACAATAAGTTGAGAGCAGAACAGAGGAGATGGAGAAGAGCTCAGTAAATCTGTCACGTACTAACGTAGACAAATGACGGTACCACACTTCAGTATGTAACTCTTCTCTCTGAGAACAGAAAAGCACTTCACCATTCTTAGAATCCCCAAAGCCTTGCTACACTGACACATATACACTCAATTTAGATAAATGGTTACTATATAAAAGCAATAG